CTCTATATGTTGCTCCTCTATGTGTTGCTCCTCTATATGTTGCTCCTCTATATGTTGTTTTCTTTTCAACGTAGGTGAGATAAGCACATAGCATAACAAAGATTAGCACACTAGTTAACGACAGCTTTAGTTTAGTTAAGAAACAAAAGGTCGACGAGGTTTGCTCAACTGTGATTGGAGCACAGAGTAGAAAGGGGCGGGGCTTAGGAAGTTTTGTAAGACGTGAACACTGTTTAGCGGGAAACTCAAACTTACAATAAAACATAAAAGCAGCATAATGTTACATTCACACAATGTCAACAGAAGGTAGCCAGTTAACAATTAATATATAAATATATGTTTGTCTCTTATCTTTGTCTTTTCAACATAGATTAGCTGAGCATGTAGCATATCTAATAGCCTAGATTAGCCACTCTTGTTGTGTTACATATTGTTAGTGAAACAACGGGTAAATCTCCTTATTAAATGAATTGATGAAACTCTGCAGCCACGTTAGCATCCAGTAGTTGTTAAAATACTGTTTAACTGAGTTTTAATGTCGAGATCAGATAATATTATAATAAAATATTTAAAACATTTAGTTGTTTAGCACGTCGACAAAATAACATGCTAAATAATGTTTGTTAACTTTTTAACTTGTTAACATAAAAAGCTTTTACATCCAAGTTATAATTACGACACTTTCCTAATACTGATTTAACTTTAATAATACAACGTGTCCTTCAAAGTAATTAAGCTAAAATTTCAAGTTTCCATTGTACAGAGGATGCAGTCGCCTCGAGGTTACTGCAGCTAATATGTGGACATTTCCAGTAAACCAGCAGAATTACTCTTATTTTTTGTTTTTTTAATCACAGGCTAGCTAACATATTAAAGTGAGAAATGGCAGCTAGTAGCAGAAACAATGGTAACCTGAACCGTACAAAGTTAGCTTGGAGGTAGCGAGAAATTACTTCTGTCTCCCATAACAGGCAAAAAAAAGGAACGTTAGCATCAAAATGCTCGAGTTATATTTATGGTGCTATAGTGACAGAGTGAGCCAGTTAGCGAGCAATTCAAATTAAATTAAGCTAGCTGGAAAGTTAGTGCAAGATTCTTTCTTTTCATCAGGTAAGAGCGATCGTAGGGCTGGGTATCGATACTTGTGCCGATCAATAACTCAGTATTAACACACATTTCTACAAAACCTTTTTGAAATCGAGAAAAGAAGCTAAAGTTACATAAAATACAAAAACTGCAGAAATGAGGATTCAACTCAGGAATTATCCGATCAAAGAACAAGATGATCAATCTTACAGCTGCAAATATTAATCAATTCATTTCTTAGTCGATCAATAAAAAATAAATCGGCAACTATTCTGATAATAAACAAATAATTTTAGTCAAAATACCTCTAAAATGTGAATATTTGCTATTTTTCTTTGTCATACGTCTTCGTAAATTAACTGAAACAAGAATTTTAATTGTTATTGTTTATAATTAATCGGACCGGTACTGAGGTTCGATACCCAGCCGCTAACAGAGACGACTAACATGAACGCGTCACGCACTCTGAGCCCCTCCCTTAAACAAAATGTCACCCTGGAACAAAAACTCTGACCGACCGCCATCCGGCGGTTTTTATTTCACCTCGATCGCGACGTTGCAGTTAAAGACGAAACAGTCCCAAATGTCTGTCTGTGCGTCCGTCGACGTGTCGTTAGACTTTGCGCAGGTCGAGTTTGGCGATGTACGGCGAGCGGAAGGAGCCGAGGTACAGGTTCCCGTCGTACTCGTGGACCTCGCTGACGTAGGCCGCCACCAGGCCATTGGGATCGTGGAAGCTCCGGGTGCAAATGCCGCCGTCGTGGAGCTCCGCGACCAGGCTGTACCGAGGGACGAACTTCATCAGGACCTCCTGACTGAAGAGCTGCAGAGGACAGCGAGGCGAGGGGCGAGGAGAGGAGGAAGGACATGGTCAGGGACGGATGATGAAGACAAACAATGCACATGGAAAAACACTTTCCAGGTTCTGAATGTTTCCCTGAAGTTCCAGAAAGTCCAGGACCAGCTAGAAACCTGGACCTGGTGCCTCTCTGTCTGTTTTACCTTGAAGATGAATTTCTTGATCCAGGGTCTTTGGGACAGGAAGTCCAGCATGGAGAAGCCGGGGTTGGGCCGCACCGCGGACATGGCCACCCAGTAACCTCCGGACGAGCTCGGACGGATGTTGTCGGGAAAACCGGGCAGGTTGTCAATGAAGGTGTCCATCCCGCCTTTGTTCAGACCGGCAACGTGGACTCTGGTACAGAAAGACATGTTTACTGATCTGGATCAATATCACATATTGATCATTTTATGATCTCTGACATTGATCACCTGTGATATGAACATGTGATTAATATATATTATACTTATAACATATATTAATCAAACACATTAATTACAGTTTAATGACTGATGTTAAATATTTTAAGGACAGTGAACGTCACATTCAGTTTATACAGTATAATGTAATAATTTATATGATATATTAATATTCAGCTGCAGTCACACACACACACACTTAAAATGAGGCCGGCAGCTCGTTTCCGTGGCAACAAAGAGAGCCAACATCGCTGACATCCTGCGGCATTACATAACCGTCATCATATATGATCCTCAGAGATCATCTTTCTTTAATCAGGCACTTTGTTGTGCTTTATTAGTTTATATTATTATTTTAGCACATTTTGATTTAAAGCAGTTCATGGTGGAACTTTATTCTGAAGCTTCAGCGTATAGAGATAGAATATCTGGTGTTTTACAGAGAATAAATCTCTGTGTATCGCAGCCTTGGAGCCGACTGTGGCGGCCGTACAGGTGAGTCAGGTGTGTTACCTGCGGATCCGGGCCATGGTGGTCTCGGCCACCAGCACCGACTCCTCGTCTGGCAGCAGCTGGATCCCGTTTGGAAACCGAAGGTTCTCCATCACCACCGTCAGCTCTCTGGTCTCGGTGTCGTACTCCATCACGCTGACAGGACGAAAGTGTTTGTTTATGTATCGGTTGGATTTTAGTTCAGTTTAAGCAGCGTTAGAAACCTTCCGTACCGTCCGTCGGCCGTGGCCTCCATGATGAGGTGCAGATAGTCCCTGCGCTGCCACCTGCTGCTGGAGTCGGTGAAGTACACCTTCTTCCCGTCCTGAGTCACTGCCAGGTCGTTAATGAACGACAGCTTCCTGCCTGCGACCACCTGACCGCCCGACACCAACCTGGTCGCATCACCTGCCCCGAAAAACACAGGGAAAGAGAAAGCAGCCGTCCATTAGCTGCAGTCGTGTTAGCACAGAGCTAATGTGCCTCAATGACCCTTCAGCTCATTTATTGTCAGCAACGTTAGTAATCCATCGTATCCACTCCTAATAAAGAATTCAAAGCGTTAAATAAATAAATAATAAATAATCCAGCTGCACTCACCTGTGGTGGGGTTGACCTCGAACAGACCCAGGTAAGCATCGGCTACAAACAGAGTCCCATTGGGTCCCACTCTGATCCCCAACGGCCTCCCGCAGGTGGACTCCTCCTCTCTGGAACCTGCAGGACGCACATTGTTCAACCTGGAGAAACTCCAGACACACCCAGAGGCAACCTGACAGACCTGTTCATCCTCCCACTACAACAACAGTCTCAGTTCATTTCTGCCTGTATGGAGGCCTGAACGTGCTCCAAAAACTCAGGAAACACCTGCCAATATTCAGCCGTGGTCCTATTGTTTAGACTTTTATGCTGAAAGGAGCAGAACAGGAAACAGCAGCAGAGTCGAGTTTGAACCCTCGACAGGTTTCAACACGTCGCTGTGTTTGTTAAGAAACCGACAAAAACTCCAGAATGACGCAACAAACAGGTTCCAGGTCAGTGGTTTCCTCACACTGAAAATATATTCACTTTAATTTATAATATAACTAAATAAATATATTTTATATCAGTGATATAAAATATATTTATTTTATATATATAATCTATTTAAAATAAAACGCTACGTTTTACCCTAATTAAACTTAACTTAAAGCTAAAACAAACTTACAATTTTAAGATTTATCTGGTTAAATAAATATATAATAATAATAATAATAATAATAACTTAAATGTTAAAAGTTTGTCATTTTAAGAAACTTCAAATGAAGCTTTTTTTGTTTTTTGTTAGTTTAGGTTAAACTTAATATTTGAGTTTTACCCTATTTTAACCTCGTTTTAACTAAACATTAAACAAAGTGAAATAAACTCAATTAAACAATAACAGAGACATACAGTCACATCTTAAGTTAGCTTTACAACATAGTTTAGCTTAGCATATAGCATATCTAAGTACAGGAAAGGAGGAAGTTGACGGAGGTTTGCTCAACTGTGATTGGAGCACAGAGCACAACGGGGCGGGGCTTATGGAGGGTTATTTTCTCACCACATGGCAGTTTTCCGAGTCTCGTCACCGTGTGAATCCTTCGACCAATCAGCTTCACGATCTTCCCGTCGGCTGTTCCAGCGAACAAAACATCTGCAGAGACAAACATCTGTCAGCTCTCAGTCGTCTCCATGGTCTTCCTCGTTTATAAAGTAAAGCCCGCACTAACCTCCGATGTTGGCGATGGACTCCGGTCCGACGATCTGGTCTTCAAACAGTCTCTGAGCCTCTCGGAGCTTCAGGTTGGGCTCCCAGCAGCCCTTCATCAGCGGGGGCTCCTTCAGACTGCAGGACGCAGAGCCACCAGCAGGAGGCAGCACATGCATCAGTGATCGTTCTAGTCGCTGTTACTCAATCGTTAGCTGACTAGTTAGTTAATCTCCTTCAACCATTAACTGACTGGTTCCATTTCACCAATATAAATAATGAAGGGTGCTATTGATTAAGTGCTGATTATTCCTGTGCAGGCTGATATTAATCAATCATTAAAGCAGCAGGTGTGTTCACTGACTCACCTGAAGACCTCGGGGTGGATGGGAGACTCCAGGATGAGGATGACGATGAGGAGAGGAAGAAGCAGAAAGCCTCCCAGAGAGAGCAGAGTGACCTGGAAGACCTTCCCACTGTAGCTGCTGAGGAGACACACGTTGTTACTACACACAATATCTTTATGCTGTACCACCCTTATAATTATTATAATATATATAATGTTAAATATATACAATCAATAAAAAGGGTTTTAAACAGGGAACACCTGCGTCCGTACCTATTGTACTTATTGTACTTATTACCTTATTATTCTTCTTATTATTATTATTATTTCAGATTTTACATTCATAAAAAAACTAAATCTTATGTTACATTTAACATATCAGATATTTGTATCTGTATATATATTTAAATATATGTATACAGATATGTATAAATAAATAAATATATATGAAAATAAACAACAAAAAATAAACAATGAGCTTCTATAAAGTTTTTAATATTATATTTTTGTTCTTGTGTCGTGTATGTTATTTATTGTTTAATACTCAAACACTGACTCATAATATCTTGAATTGTCCAAAAGTATTTTTTCAATAAAGTAAAAAAAAAAAAAAAAAAAGTTTAGTTTCCGGTTTGAAATCCGCTCGTTCTGATCAATAAATCAGACAGAAACACTGATCAATAATCGATCAGCTGCAGCACCGGGCCCGTTTTTACCTCCATAAATCTTTATTGACACATAAACAACAAACAGTGACTGTGGAATTATAAATATAAAAATATAATATATATAAATATAAAAATATATTTAAAAATATATAAATAACATATATATAAATATATAAATATATAAATAAATATAAATAAAAATATATAAATAACATATAAATATTTTAATATATAAATAGAATATAAATAAAAAATATAATAACATATATAAATATTTAATATATAAATAAATTATAAATATATATAAATAACATATAATAAATATTTTATATATAAATAAATATTAATAAAAATATATAAATTACATATATAAATATTTTTAAATAAATATATAAATAAATATATAAATAACATATATAATTTAATATATAAATAAAATAAATAAAATATATAAATAACATATATAAATATTTAAATATATATGTTTGTGTGTTTGTGTGTGTGTGTTGGTAGTTGTACCCGGATCCCTTGTATCGGGGTGCTCCGGCCCAGCTCCGTCCGGGGTGGATGAACCTGCGGTCTGTTGGCCACCCGCCGGGAAAACCGGAGCCCCTCCCCCCCGTCTTCAAATTCCCATGCTGTTAACCCCGCGGGTGTCGGGTTCGGGTTTTCGGGTTCGGTTCGCTCGGCTGGTTTGGGTCTTTCGGGAGCCCCCTTGGGAACGGCCCCTCCGGGCTGCGGTTGGGAATGTGTTAACCGGGGGTAACAAGAGGGAAGTAAACCGGGAGAGGAAAGGCACCCGACATCTACCCGGAGCCACCGGAGCCCCCCCTGTTTACAACCACTTGAACAGCTTTCCCGGTCTTGAACACTTTCAAAAAATAAAGGGACCGTTTGGGAAGGCTCCAGAAATGGAAAAATATTTAAACATCAAGCTAAAAATATATAATTTATCTTTATTATTATCATCATTTATTTTTATTTGGTTTATAATACATCTTTAAAAATATTTTACAGTTTATATTGTTAAGAACATTTTCCCCATTTCAAGATTTCTGTTTTTAGAATTGGAATTTTAAACCCTGCTTTTTGTTTTTTAAACACCATTATGGCTTGGCCCCTTCCCTTTACTGTCTGAGAATTCTTAA